GAAGGATTGGGGCGTTAGATTGTAAGCTCCTTCAGGGCAGGGGTTGTGTGTTTCTATCTCTCCTGTCAAGGGTCTAGTATTAATACATCTTAATAATAATTAATAACAGCAATCACTGTGAAGCAGTGTGGTCAATATATAGGGCACTGGATTAGGGTGATCTGGGTTCTACCATGGACCAGCGGAGTGACATTGGGCAAGTTTCTGTGCCTCTTTTTCCCATCTAAGCCTTTGTGGGTCTGTCTACACAGCAAAGAAAAACCTGCGGTTAGCCCGTGCCAGCCGACTTGGGCTCTGTCTGCAGGGCTGTTTCATTCCTGTGTAGGCTTCCAAGCTGCAGCCTGAGCTCTGGGACCCTCCCACCTGGCAGGATCCTAGAGCCCCAGCCTCAGCCTGAGCCCCGTGAGCCCAAGTCGGCTGGCCCAGGTGTCTAGTCACTGCGGAGACATACCCTGTTTGTCTTGTCTATCTAGACTGTAAGCTCGTTAGGGAAGGTACTGTGTTTGGGTTTTTTAAATACCATTGTGCCTAGTGCAATGAGTCCCTGATCTTGGTTGGAGACTCTCTTGTGATCCAAATAATTTTTCTCTATTTATTATTATTACTATTATTTTATTATTTATTAATAAACAGCCTAAATCCACTTTCACTGAAAGCCAGTTACGTAAACACGAATGCTCAGAGCAATACCTGAGCATCTTTGGTTTGCTGAAGAGGAAGTTTGGGGCTTATTTTCAGAGCATACTGGGAAGATGCTTTAAATGTTCTTTTATAATAAATTATAATCTTGTAACCATTCCCAACAAGAAAAGATTGGCCATAGACCATTACCAGGTCACACTTTACAAGAATCTTCTTAGAGGTAGATGGCACAGTATAATCTTTTTTTTTTATTTTTTTAAAACTGTGTTCCTTAGTAATGTAAAAATACATAAATAATGTGTTTAAACAAAATCCCTTTGAATTTCTCTTGATCATTTATATGTGTTGACCTGATGAGCCCGAAACAAAAATGCTGTGTCCACCTCTCCAGAGTTTAGGGACGTTCACAGTCAAACTTTGCCGCTGGTGACCATTTACTTTGCCTCTGTTCATTTCCTCCTCTTGGACAATGAAAATGTACTCGTCAGTTTCATGGACGTTTCACTTTCTGTTTCTTGGGCCTGCTCCAAAGCGCATTCAATGGAAAGTCTCCCATTGATTTCAGTGGGCTTTGGACCAGATTTCTTATTCCCACTGCTGCAGCAACTACTGTTTAACTCCAGATCAAGACTGTTTTTACTGACTTTTTTTTTAAACATAATAGCGAAAACATTTTTCTTCCTCTGTTGCTTTGTTCAACATCTCTTATTTATAAACGCGTAAGCCAATTCTGCAATCCGATCCACTGATGCAGAACTCTGCTGACTTGGTTGGGATGCAGATGGGCCCTTTTAATGGATCAGAGCCTAACCTTCCTTAACAATATTTCTTTAACAGAAACTGTTATTTGCTATGTGCCAGTATAAACACTACAGCTGTCTGAGCAGACACCTTAAACTTCACATTAGCTCATATCTTTGTCCTGTCAAAATAATGGGAACTTCTCAAGATTTAACTATACTACTGAGTAACTTATCTTTCTGCTTCGTATTTATATGGTTACCCTTGAGTTCTATTTAAAATGACTGATTTGGCACCTTTAAATTGATTGCTTTTCCAATCCCAGATTACCTTCCCTTACTGTCTGGTTAGGGTGAATGTAAAAATATCTGAACCTACCAAGGGAAAAATAAAAGCTTTAACTACCATTTTCCCCCTCCCCTTGAAATAAGTTTCATGTAAAAAGCTGATACGTAACCAATTCCTTATTAATGATATTTACGGAAATATTGCAGCGCTTCTCTACTGAAGGATTAGTGTTTTTTGACTTCCAGTGGACTGATTGCTTCTAGTTTCATAGTTAATTGAAAGAGAATGTACACTGAGGATGACAGATATACCCATTCTGAGGCTAGCTGAGTTTGAAATAGTCATGGTGTATAATGCATGTCAGGAGAAATAAAGATGAAGTGGCAAAATGATCATTATTTATATAGAGCCCAAAGTGCACTAGGCATTTTATAGACAAAGAGGCCAACAAGGACATTTCTCCAATAACAATCTATTATTATTTACTATTTGTCTTCCAGTGATACCCAAAAGTTCCCATCAGGATCAAAGCCCCACTCTGCTGGGCCCCGTACAAACTTATAATTAGACAGCCTCTGCCCCAAAGAATTTACAGTCCAAGTGCTAGATTGTACCTCTGAGGCCTGGTCTACACTGGTGGGGGGGGATCGATCTAGGATACGCAACTTCAGCTATGAGAATAGCGTAGCTGAAGTCGACATATCTTAGATCGACGTAGATTGACTTACTTCACGTCCTTGCGGTGCGGGATCAACGGCCATCGCTCCCCCGTCAACTCCGCTTCTGCCTCTTGCCCTGGTGGAGTTCTGGAGTCGACGGGGAGCGCGTTCGGGGATCGATGTATCGCGTTTAGACGAGATGCGATACATCGATCCCCGATAGATCGATCACTACCCGCCAATCCGGCGGGTATTGTAGACATACCCTAAGGCACAGCCCTGAGCAGAGGATGATATGTAAGATGCATCATCCCTGGTAGGCCTGGTGACTCAGAGAAACCCCCCGTGTCACAGAATCCTTCCCTGCATTCTCCTTGCTCCAGGGCTGTAGTGATTTACCACTGGTTTAGATCAGCTGGTTGGCTGAGCTGCACTGGATGGTGCATTGTGCGGAGACAGACCCATGGCTCAGCATCACAGTGGCACTTGGGTTTAAAAGAAGCCAGGTTTCCAGATTTATAGTCTGTTACTCTCAGTACTAGACCATGCTGCTTTTCAGCACGTGGCCCTGTTAAGATCAAGTATACAGAAGAACTTCAGGAACAGATTAGAGATGTAGCAGAGGAACGATGGGTTTTGTGGCTAAGGCACTGTACTGAACCAAATTCCTAGCTCAGCCATAGACTCCCTATATAACCTTGAATAAGTCACCAATAGACTGATGAAAAGCCCATTGAAATCAATGAAAGAATCCCATTGATTTCAGTGGATTTTGGGTTGGACCGTAATCTGTTACTCATCTGTAAATGGAGAAGTATTATCATCCCCATCTCAAAGGATAACTTCATTGGTGCTCAGCTATTGTAATGATAAAAGCCACAGAAGTACATAGATTAATTACAGCAATCAAAATGCAGGGTGACTTGCAGGGAAGTGTGTTTCCTTGGTCAAAATAGGCTGCTCATTTAGTCTCTTTTACTCTCCTGCAGGACATTTTTGTTACATGATGAATTAGGAAAGGAAGAAATCTTATTGTGAGCAATGGAAACTAGGATGTCTTTGATTTCCGCCACGCAAGAGACTCAACATCTATCCCAGGAGAAGGGTCAGAGTCCAGCCAATGGGAACAGAGAACAGTTTGATTCAGGTGAGCTCTTGTTTTCCATGTCCGTTTCACTTTTAAGTTTATGTAAATAAAACAGATTTTCTTGTGCAAGTTAAAAATTTTCAAAATCCCACAACATTTGGAGGAAAATTGGCAAAACTTTTGACAATGTTTCCTTTGTTTTTCAACCCTTTGTAAATTTTTGGGGAAGAAAAGCAAAATTTTAAAAATGTTTGGAAGTTTTTCCTTTATTTGAATCAGCTGGATTGATCAACTTTTTCTATAAGTTTTTTTTTTTTTTGTTCTGTGTGTTTTTATTTAGATTTTTTTCCCCCCACAAAAAACATCCCAGCTACCAGAGCGTGCAATACATTTCTCAAATGGTGCTAAGGGGTGTACCTCCACTGCATGCGCTTCCCTCCCTGGGGAGAAGATGAAAGAACAAACGTGTGACCGATAGGTACACCTCTACCCCGATATAACGCAGCCCAATATAACAGGAATTCGGATATAACGCGGTAAAGCAGTGCTCTGGGGGGGCGGGGCTGCGCACTCCGGCGGATCAAAGCAAGTTCTATATAACGCGGTTTCACCTATAACGCGCTAAGATTTTTTGGCTCCCGAGGACAGCATTGTTTAATGCACTACTGGAAGGTGCTCCTAGACTATGAAGATAAGTGCGGCACAAGGACTTATAGATAAGGTTAATATTTTGTCACAGTTATTTGTAGTAAAAGTCAGGGACAGGTCATAGGCAATAAACAAAAATTCGTGGGAGTCCGTGACTTGTCCATGACTTTTACTAAAAATAAGTGTGATAAAATGGGTCCGATGAGGGGATGAGAGCCCGAGACCTGCTATAGGAGGGGAGAGGTGGCGTCCAGCCCCGGCCTCCACTGCGGCTGACCGTTCCGGGGTCCCCCCTGCTGCCTGTAGTGGCTTGGAGCTCTGTTGTCCTCCTGTGGCTGCAGGGGTCCGCCCGACACCCGTGGTGGCTGAGAGCTCCAGGTCCCCCCGTGTTGGCTGAGAGCTATGGGGGCCCCTGCCTGCGGGGGCTTACAGCTCCTGCCCTGCTGCCCCAGGGCCGCAGCAGAGAATGTCATGGCGGTCTCTGGAAGTCACAGAATCCATGTCTTCCCTGACCTCCGAGACATAATCTTAGCCTTACAGATTCGGTTCAATTCTCTCTAAGTATCTTTCATTAAGCTTTGCAAAGTGAGCTCGGAATCTGTGACTCCAGCCTCGTTCGGGGTGAAATTCCACTGTGTGCAGAGCACCAGCATGCACTCTGTGCAGCACTTCAGTCCCACTTGACTACTCAAAATAAGGTTTAAGTGGCACATAGGCTTTGTTCTGGCTCTCTGCACAGGGGTGAATCATCCGGAACGATTTAATACACGGCCACCCAACTATTAGTACAGCTGTTTCTAGCTCTTTATTTTTCTAAACTTGGGAAGATGAAGGCTCTTCCTTAGGCGTGATGATGGTCTTGATATTAAGGTTCTGGACAGGGACCCAGGACTGCTGGGTTCAGTTGCCAGCTCTGTCACTGGTTCTTCTCTGTGACCTTGGCCAGTTGCTACCAATTAGCATCTCAGTTCCCTGTGTTTTGCTTGTATGTTGTATCCTTTTCTCCCACCCTGTTTAGGCTGTAAGCTCTGCAGGGCAGGGACTGTGGATATGTCTACACTGTAATCAGAGGTGTGACTGCAGCATGTGTAGACATACCCCGAGCTAGCTTTGATTTAAAAAAAGCAGTGATGTGGCAGCAGCAGCATGGGCTTAGCCAGTCAAGTAAATACTCTGGGTCCCAGCCTCATGCTGCCGAGGCTTACTTGCTGTTGTGACTTGAGTTAGCGAGATAAAAGCTAGCTCAGGTGTGTCTACACATGCTGCAGTCACGCCTCTGGTTGTAATGTAATGTAATTATTACTCTGGGTGTAATAAAAACAATGTGTTTATATCAGTGGTCCCCAAACTGTAGGGGGCACGGAGGAATGTTGTGGGGGAGGGAAGCGCACGGAAGGGGCAAGGAGGGAGCGCCATGCCCCTGGCCCTGCTCTGCCCCCAGCCCAGCTCCGCCTCCAGCCCTGTTTTGCTCCCAGTCCTACTCTGCCTCCAAGCTCAGCTCCACTTCCAGGCAAGATCAGCCCCACTCCGCCCCCTGCTCTGCCAGCCCAGCGTTACCCCCATTCCCTCTCTGCCCCCACACTAGCTCCGCCTCTAGCCCTAGCTCCTCCCCCATCCCCAGTTCTGCCCCCAGCTCCGCCTTCAGCCCAAGTGCTGCTGCTCAGGAAGGCTTGGCTGTGCAGTAATGGGTGGGTGGGTTGGGGGGAGGCATGGACAGATTCTGTTAAGGGGAAGGGGGGGTGCTGATGGTAAGGGCTTCTGCAATCCACACAATGAATAATAACCAGTATTGTACAGCTCATCTTCTGTAAACAGATTGATATGTGTGTCTTACATTGTCGTATTCGTCCTGGGGCTGATAATACTAAATCCTTTTCTCAACAATCGGACATTTCCATGAGGCTTGCTGATGATAAAATGATACTGAGTTATAAATGTCAGATGGAGGGTCAGATTTTCTAATGAGCTCAGTGCCCCGCTAGCTTGCACTGAGAACCTGGAGTGTTCCCAGTGCGAGCTGTTGGGTGCTGAGAATTCTGCAACTCTGGCCCCAGTTGTTTAAAGGTGCTGCACTCTCCTTGCGCTCCTGGTGAATGAAATGACCATTCCCCTGAGGCTGTATACTGTAAGAATTAGAGGAGGAATTTCAGAAGTGCTCAGTGTTGGCCTAACTCTTCTCCCATGGAAGCCAGTGGACATTTAACCATCGCTCCCTTTGAAGTCAATGATTAAAATCCCATTGACTTCAAGAAAAGCAGAGTTAGGCCAGTGGTGAATGTTTTTAAAATCCCCTTTGATGCTTTTTCAGGACTTATTGGATCTCTTCTTTCAGACCATGCTGTTAATGTTCTGTTGTTCACCTTCCCGATAAACCTCTTGAAGAAAAGAATTGATAGCTCTGCATTCTATTTGAAAGGAACTCAAACAGAATTGCCAAGAGTAACTTTATATTTTTAATCACATCTGAAAAACCTTGGAAGCCTTTTCTTTATGCATCCACCCTCTGTTTAAAAGTGAAAGCCTCACGGTTCTCTAAGCTGGGATGCTGCAGTGGAAGGGTTATTTTGCTAGGTTTTGAACTCATCTAGCTCCCGCATCTTCTTTGAATATCATCTCCAAAGCATCTGGCTTCTGCTACAATGCTTGCATCAGAGATAAGATCCCCGAAGGCTCCAATCTGCCGAGGGCCGTGCCCCTCCACTCCCCCCTAGTAGAGGGTGTAGAGCACCCTGGAGAATAAGATTCTAAGGGCATGATGCTGGGAGCTTCTAACATGGCACAGCACCTTGCAGGAAGCACTGGGGAACTTGCAGAATTGGACCCCTGAGCTCTTTGGAAGCTACTGAATAGTTTCAAACTGCTTTTCTTTGCGTTTCAAATTCAACCAGTTGCTCTCCTCAAGTGGTTTATTTGATCCTCTCTTTGCCTCTTCTCAGGCTGTCCCTTGTCCATAGGAATTCAGTCACTCAAGGTTTCTGTCTCTTGACCATCAACATTCACATCCACAACATCCAGTCATTCTTCTAATTCCATGGGCAACAGGGATTTCATTTTGCTCTTTAGAAAGCTGATATTAGGCCCTTGGTTTTTGGTATTTCACCTCGGTTTTCATGGTAGGAATCCAAGGCCAGTGTAAATGGGCAGTGACCTCTGAACTGAATAGATTTGTCACCTTGGAGGCTTTTTGCTTCCCGCCACTTTGTCCCTGACCCAGAAAATCTCATCTGATGCCTTGTAAAAGGAAGTGAATTTAAGGTTCATCACGAAAGGCACCAGGTCATCAGCCCTACAGACGGAAGTTCTCTATTTATTCACAGAACACAGGTTGCAGCCGCACAAGCATAACCCATTAGGCAGTATGCCCAGTCCTTAGAGAATATGAATCTAGTCCCCATGTAGACAGCCTGGCTCTTTAGCTTAAACTCATGTTTATAGCTCTGGTGATCTCCAGTTTTGGCTAAGATGGTGGTGGTTGTGTATGTGGCAGCTTGTTTGGGATGTGAACTGCTGTGGGCCTCAAATGTTTGGGACATGCTTCTGTTCAGAAGAGGTATGTAAGCCACTATTCAGTATGTGTTATGTATCTCCCCATTTCCTATGCCCACTCCACAGAGGATATGGGTCTTAGCTCAAGCTGTAGAGGCGTAGCCTTTCAGCTCTGGAGGTCCCTGGTTCGGCCCTGGGTCCTTGTGCCCCATCCACATTCTGCAGGGGGAGAAGGGAGTTTTTCTGGGATTGCCAGTTATGAAGGAACCTTCTGTGGGCACCTGAACCTCAAACAGCAGTCAGTTGAGAATGATTTTTATTTATTTATTTATTTAATCACTGTGAATTGTGCCAGATCTACTGCTTCTGCCCCATCCAGTATGCCAGTAACCCTGTCAAAGAAGAAAATTAGGTTGGCTTGGCATGATTTGTTCTTGACAAATCCGTGTTGGCTTTTGACACAGTCCCCCATGACATTTTCATAAGCAAACTAGGGAAATGTGATTTAGATGAAATTACTATCAGATGGATGCACAACTGGTTGAAAGGCCAATAAGTAGTTATCAACGGTTTGCTGTCAAACTGGGAGGGCCCACCAAGTGAAGTCCCACAGGGGTCGGTCCTGGGTCTGATACTATTCAATATTTTTCATTAATAATTTGGATAAAAGATAAGAGTTTATAAAATTTGTGGATGATACCACGCTGGCTGCAGGCATTTTGGTGGACAGGATTAAAATTCAATTCATCCTTGACAAATTGGAGAATTGGTCTGAAATCAACAAGATGAAATTCAGTAAAGACAAGTGCAAAGTACTGCACGTAGGAAGGAAAAAATCAAATACACAGCTACAAAATGGGGAATGACTGGCTAGTGAGTAGTACTGCAGAAAAGGATCTTGGGGTTACAGTGGATACCAAATTGAA